CTTTGAGAATTCTGTTAAGTCTCAGTGGACTTTGGTTCATCCATATGTATGAATTGAATCCTTCAAGGGAGTTTTCTCCTCAGACTGTTGGTCCTTGCAGAATACTGCATTGTTTTTAAGGATTTCAAATTGAATCGTCATCCAGATCCTGGACTGTTATTTTGGGTTCTGGTAGCATTTTTAGCATCTCTCATAAATACAGTGTGTAGATTTATGTTACATTGTTAGGCTTGGCGATTGCTAGGGGCCATGGAAGACAGGACTATCATTGCAGAATTTTTTTCCTGTAGTACTCATCTTAGAGGTAGTTGTCCTTGACAGCTCCTCTTTAGCCAGGCCATGGTAGTTGCTGCGGCATAAAACTTAAATAAACAAAAGCTATAAAAAAAATTGATGTGCATTCGGCACCATAGGGTTTCATATAACCTCTGTCGCCATCATCATTTTCCTCATTTCCTGTGGTTTGTTTTTTCCATACTTCTCATGGACATAGTGTGGGCATGTGTAGGATTTTACCCCAAGTTGATTTGAGCACAAAAAGGAAGCAGTGACTTGCTCTGTAGTTCCTGTCTGTGTACAGTTGGAATGCCCTTTATATAACTCAATGTTTAAGCCTGTACCAAAAAAAGAATGTGGTTCTCAAAATCATTTCTAATTTCTCACACTCTCGTGATTTTGTTTGTACTGATGAAGGCTGAGGGTGGAGTGGAGTTCAGAGAAAGGCGATTTCCCCTGTAGCCTGCTTTCTTCTCCTTTACGTTTTTTTGGTTGCCATAGAAATGACCTTGCTGGGTAAGAGAAAGAATTTTCCCAGCCTTGTATTTCAAGGTATGCGTGGCATTTGCCAGCCTTCTCTCCACAGGGGCCCTTCACTTGACCCTTAGCGAGCAGAAGGAGGACAGGAGCAGGCCTGCTCAGAGAGAGGGAAGCCTTTCCGTTCCCCACCTCGAGCACCTGCCTCTCCCTCTTTCCTTTTCTTGCTAGTGTGCGTCTTCCTCCTGCTCCCATTGTATTGAACAGATGCCTGTCAAACCCTGCCCCAGGAGTGAAGTGAGGACTGTCTGGATATCTTGAAGCATCACCTTCATCTCTTACTGGGTGACAGGTTGAGATTGGGCTATGGCAACTTTCTGTTCTGTATTAGGTGTTGAGAATACACGAATGAATCCCGTGTGGTGGAGACAGTGAGGCATAGGAACAGATAAAGAATGGGAGTGTGGATGGAGCAGCGTGTGAGCACCATGGAGGGAACAATGCATTGGATTTGTAGGGGTCAGGAGAGTTACCTTTGAAGATGATGACATCTTGTTGTGTTCCGGATTGCCCAGATAGAAAGAACCAGTGAGACTCACCAAAATGCAAAGAACAAAGGGACTTTATTTGTAGGTCCAGCATGCTGGGGCCCCAGCCTCCCATGCAATGCAGTGCTGGGAGACCAAGACCCTCTTCTCTTTGTTTTCTGGGTTTTTATAGTTCCCAGGCAAACAAGTATTATGTCCGCATTCCTTCCTTCCCCTGGACCTGCAGGACCAAGGACGGCCCACCTCATTGGTTGCCTCCACCTGGTCCTGCGGACTGGACCAAGGACTGCTCAGTGTTAGGTTTTATCTTCTCATACCAGGCGCATCCTGGGCCTAGTCAGTTTTTTTTTTTTTTTTTGTCTTGTGAGAAGCCTGTCATGGCATGGCTCTGGCCTCTCACGATCTAAATTGGTCCTTGACTGTTGAGTTAGAGTGCATTGGTTGGTTATTCTTTGTCATGAAAGAGCAAGAGATGGTGAGAATATCATTGTAGTTGAAGGAGAGAGTCCATGCAGGTGGGAAGGAAGTGAGGATAGAGACAGGAGACAGAATCTCGAAAATTAGCAAAGTCTGAGGATGGAAAAAGTTCGAGTTTTCTGTGTATGTTTTCCTCAGTTGCTAACCTGGGAAGCAGTACTGATGAAGGGTTGGAGGGAGGACTGGAGAAGCAGCAGAGGACCTGGCTGGCAGGCAGGTTGAGCTAGAGTGCCAGCCAGCAGCAATGAGAGTTTCAAGCAGAACAGCAGCCTGGGCTGCCTTATTCATCCTGATTTTCTTAAGAGTTCTTTCACTTAAAAAACGGAACCTAAGTTAGCTGGCTGGCTTCTTGGTTTTGGAAATTCTGTCTCGCGTTGTGAAACACCAAGCCCAACACCAGGTCTTCCTCTGTCAGTTGTATTATGGTTCTAGGTCAAGTTCTCCCGTGGCCCTTCTCCTTCAAAAAGCTCAGAGCTGCCAGCATGTCCTGCTACGGCGCCTGCACTGTCACAGTACCCACTAGATTACGAGTTGTTGCAGGTGCTAGTTCATCTGCCCTGTTCATGCTCGTACGCCCTGCACCTAGCACACAGCTCTCTTGAAATACTTGCTGAGAGAATGAAAGGATGAATTTCTAAGACCTGGAGGCCAGAAACATCGCCCATGAGCAGGAAGTGTCTACATTAAAATACCAACCCATGGCAGTCCTCTGTACTAGTTTTATCTTTCTTTTTCTTTTGCTGTTCCATTCCTGTTCAACAAGATGCAGATTCATGAATTTAATGAGCTTACCCAGGGATGTGGGCCAGCTGTTATTTAGACTTTTGTTTACTCAAAGCACTTAGCAATTAGCAGCTGTTTATTGTAGTGGATTTGGAGACTCTTTGTCAGGTGCCTATAGCCAGTGTTCACTTGAAATCCAAGGGAAAAAGCAGTAACCATTTTTTTTAAGATTTATTTATTTATTTGAAAGTCAGTGTTACACAGAGAGAGAAGGAGAGGCAGAGAGAGAGACAGAGGGAAGTCTTCCATCCACTGGTTTGCTTCCAATGGCCTCAACAGCCAGAGCTATGCAGATCCAAAGCCAGGAGCTTTCTCCGGGTCTTCCCACTTGGGTCCAGGGGCCCAAGGACTTGGTCCATCTTCTACTGCTTTCCCAGGCCATAGCAGAGAGCTGAATTGGAAGTGGAGCAGCAGCGGGAGCTTGAACCGGCACCCATATGGGATGCTGGCACTGCAGGCTGTGGCTTTACCTGCTACACTACAGCGCTGGCCCAGCAGTAACCATTTGAACAGAAAATTTGTGTGCCTAGAAATGCAGCTGATGGGCCTGCAGACGTGCAGTTTGTACACTGAAGCACTTAATGTTGTTTCCTGGTTTTTTCTTAGACTTGGATTTGGTTACCAGGAGTATCTTAGTGAAGCTACCTTGGTTTTAGAGCAGTGGGTTCCAATCATTTCAAGTGTGAGGACTCCTTTAAACCTGCATCCCCCTGAGCCCAATCCTACTAAATCTTGGATCTTCATTGTCTGAGAGAATACCTAGTGACAGTAATACTTCTTTCTCCCTTTCTAATTTTTTATTATGAAAAACTCAAAGCGTGCAAAAAAAGATAAAAAGAGTAGTACAGTGTTTATTTCCATACCATTACCAGATTTAACAGTTGTTCACATGTTTCTTGTGTGCCGTATCTATATTTTGTTGGGTGAACTGCCTGAATGCAGCAGGCTTTAATTCTTGAGCTTACATTCCCTGCGAATAGGGCCTGTTCCTACGTAAGCACGAAGCTTTTCCATGCCTGAGAGTGAACAGTGCTTTCCCAGATTATCAAACATCTAGCGTATTCCCACATCTCTAATAATTTCCAAATGCCTTTTGCAGTTTCTATCAGGGCCATTCGGTCAGAGGCCAGGTGTAGCATCTGCTGTTGTGTTTCATTAGCTCTGTTTTCTTCTAGAACATTTCCCCACAGCTCCCATTCTCCTCTGTGATACGGACTTTCTGAAGCCGTCAGGCCATTTGGCTTGCTAACTGTTCTGTACTCTAGATTTATCTCGTTGCTTTTTTCCAAGTTGAGAAGGAACTGTTTATGTTGGAAGCTATTCTGTGTAGAAGGGTGTCATTCAGTAAACATAGAAGGAATGATGGGGGTCACAAACCACTATTTTGCTGACTCCTTTGAAATAACGTAGGGCAAAAATGCCGAAACCAGTTAACATCTTTGGGGAGAGTTTTCAGGAACAGGATATTCATACACAGCCAAGACACTACCCAAAATCATGCTTGCCAATTGCAGTGGGTAAAGCCCTCATTCGGAGTGGAGATTTTTGGATTGTAGGGAAAGTAGTGCAACTTAGCATCTCCGAGAAACAGTGGAGTACCTGAGAGTGGATGCCTCTGAGGTGCTGTGGTTAAGAAGCGTGTGACGTCTGGGAAGTGCAGTCTGAGGGTCCCGTATCTGAAATGCCTGGGACCGTGAGAGTTCCCAATTTTGGAATGTGTGTGTAGACTGGAGTTGAACATCCACAATCTAGAAATCTGAAATCCTGAATGCTCCAAAATCTGAAAATTTGAACATCAAAATGCTTGTTTTATCCTTAACCGCACCTTCCATTTACAGGAAATAAGTAAGTAGAGACACAAATTATATGACACTCTGAGAAAGCAGTCACACCAATCCTGTAATGCCCTTAAGTTTGCCTTTTATTAATCTCGGTCATGTTTACTGTCACCTGAAGAACAGCAGTCCATGTGTGTTCATGTGTGTCAGGTTTACCGAGTGAGCAGAGACACACGAGATCTGTGCACCCCTAGCAGTAACTGCTGCTTTTGGGGAATCATGGAGCACAGTAGATTCTGTTTTCTTTGACAAGAGCAGATAGAAGTTCATATGGTTTCTTAATAAACGCAGGCATTTAGCTCACAGACATGTCTGTCTGCCACCTTGTAGAAACACCGAACTCACCTCGATGGAAAAGTGTTCACACTTCAGGCACTGAACTCACAGGCGTCCACATATTTTGTAGTTGAAGTGTTCAGAAAGAACTGGAGAATTGGCACCACTTCACTGGGTTGCCAGCTTATGATTAATTTAGTTTCTGGTTTTGCAATTCCTAAAACTGGTCTTCCAAAAATACTCTAAGGTTAAGTTGTTTTCATCAAGGCAGTATATTTATTAAGTGGTCATTGTTTCAACTCTAATTTATTATTGATCTTTTCAGGCCCACAGCAGCAGAACTTTTAAAATGCAAATTCTTCCAGAAAGCCAAGGTAACATGTTTAAAAAACCAAGTAAATCTGCTATTTTGAAATCACTACGAATTTATCTGTGTCATATTTGATGTTAAACGGTGGGGAATATTTGTTTTGCAGAACAGAGAGTACCTGATTGAGAAGCTGCTCACAAGAACACCAGACATAGCCCAAAGAGCCAAAAAGGTAAGCACCACGAGCCCTCACCACCCTGTGCGGGCTGACGGCTACCCCGAGACAAAACCCATAGCAAAATAGGAAAAAGAGTTCTGCATGTGCCCAATATGGTATTTAGAAGGTTTCTGATTAGCCACCACTCAGATGACCACCTTTGCCTTTTGCTTATTGCCATGAGTTTGGGTGTGGAAACAGTGAGAAACTCAAGTGATTCCATTTCTCCATTTAGCAGAAAGGATTGATTTGAGGTTTAAGTACGGGAGTGAGAACACATCCTCAGATATCTTTCCTTTGGGTTCCGTGGAAGAGAAGTAGTTGATTTGAGATGTAGTAGTCCATTTGAAGTGATGGAAAATGAAAAACAAAACTTGTTTTTAATGGTTCCTGGAATATCCAGGGGAAGTAATCCCCTTGTCAGGAAAGACCTACAGTCCCTTTTGAAGTCTACCTTGTGTTAACTACATCATGTTAATGGTTACCTGAAAAATCTTCCATTCTAGGTTTTCAGACTTTTTTTCTTTTTTAAAAGATTTATTTATTTGAAAGTCAGAGTTGGAAAGAGCATGAGAGAGATCTTGCATCCACTGGTTCATTCTCCAGTTGGTTGCATCAGCCATGGCCAGGCCAGACAGAAGCCAGCAGCAAGGAGCTTCATCTGGGTCTCCCACATCGGCAGCAGAGGCCCAATTACTTGGGCCATCCTCCTCTGCTTCTCCCAGGCATTTAGCAGGGAGCTAGATCAGAAGTGGACCAACCAGAATACAAACCATTGTCCATATGCTGCAGGCAGCAGGTTTACCTGCTACAGTACAATGCCAATGGGTTTTAGATTTTTGAGATGGTTTGTATGTGTGAGTGTATTTATTTATGTGTGCATTTATACAAGTTTATTTATTCAGATTTCATTCTGTCATGAGACCTAAGATAATTTAATTTCTGGTTTGGTTTTAAAATTAGGTTGCATATTTACGTTTTATATTTTTTATTTTTTTTGAATGATTTATTGATTTATTTGAAAGGCAGTTACAGAGAGGCAGAGAGAGAGAGAGAGAGGACTTCCTTTCACTGGTTCACTCCCCAAATGGCTGTATTGGCTAGAGCTAGGCTGATGTGAAGCTGGGAGCCAGGAGCTTCTTCTGGGTCTCCCACGCGGGTGCAGGGGCCCAAGCACTTGGGCCATCTTCTTCTGCTTTCCCAGGCCATAGCAGAGCGCTGGATAGGAAATGGAGCAGCTGGGACTCAAACCAGCACCCGTATTTGATGCCGGCACCACAGGCAGTGCTGCTTTACCCGTTACACCACAGCACTGGTCCCATATTTATATTTTAAAATATTCCTATGGTCAGAGACTTAGAAAGGGACATTCCCCTGCCCCCTTTTACAGTTATAGAGGGAGCTTACAGGAATCTAACTTTCCTGTGCTGTAAGAAAATTGGCAAAGAAACATGTTTTGAACGTCATTTCTCATCGCGCCTAGGTATAAATACCAGAGTGGTTTCATCCAGACATTGCTTCTCTAAGATTGCCTGTAGAAAATGCATGTAGCTGATGCTTTAGAATAGTTTTTTCGTGTATGCATGCTAGCAAAGTTTAATGAAGACAAGTAATGAAGAGAGTACACCTGGCAGACCAGGCGGGGACCTCAAGGAAGGAACTGGGAGCCCTGGCTGCATCCAGGCTGGAGTTTTTATGGATGCCGGGTATGGGCCCTCTTCCTCCCTTCCCACCAACACCCTTTCTGGAAAACTGTAGGGTGGGGGGCTTTCTGGGTGTGGAATCCCTCCCGGAGGCTCATAGTAGCCCCTTGGTAAAGAGCAGAATCCTTTTATGCAAACTTTAGAGCAGACTCCAAGAAGTGATGCCTCTCCGAGCTCCTCTGCTGGACACCAGAGTTCCCGGCTGGGCTGGTTTCTGGTTGATTTCTGCACTGGCCAGGGGTTGGGGGGAGGATTGTTGGTTTCTGGTTGATTTCTGCACTGGCTGGGGGTGGAGGGGAGGCTTGTTGTGTTAAGTGTGAGGAGAGAGCCAAGGTTGGTCTTGTCCACTGGACACCTTTGAGGCATCCCCTGGAGTGGCACAGAGAGGTTTGAGGCAAGTGCAGTGACCAGTTTCCAGACTCCTAAGAGAAGACTGAAGGACGCTGGGAAGAATTCTTGGGGTGCTGGCCTCCAGCACTGGATCTTTTGATCAGATACTGAGAATGTCATCCCGAGTTGAACACAGGCTCTTCAGCTTCTTTGCGTGTTTTTTCGCAGGGAGATTTGGCTGATCTCATCCAGTTAGCTGCTAATGGGGGCTTCCAGGCCTGCATTTTCTCCAGAGCTTAGCCTCCTGCCCCCAGCTCCTTGTCACGTGGTCTGCCAGCCTCTCAACCCCAAACCTCCCCTGGCGGCTGGGTTTAGGAGTAACTGCCCCCACCCCCCATGCCTTGACCTCTCTCCCCCATCCAGTCCCTTGCTAGGTCTCCCCACATTTTGTTCTGCAGCTTCTCTTTCATTGCAAACTGGACAGTTGGAGTGAATTTCTAACTGTCCTCATTTTCTGTTCTTTCTTCAGATACTACTACAAGATCGACTTTAGGATAGTGTCACTTTTGCTCAAAAGTAGTTTTCAGAATTAGACGAAACAACTACAACAGAAAATACAGGAGAAAATAGGAATACAAGAATGATTTCTGTGTAATAAAAACCCCAAGCTCCTTAGCCTTGAATTCATGGTGATATTTCTAACTTCTAGCCTTACATTCTAGCCTCCAGCCAACTGGAAACATCCATAGTTCCCAGTCCATACCCATACCCTCCCTTGGACCTCCCAGTGGTTTGAGAAGGTGAAGAATTCATTCAGGCTATGACTTTTTTCCTTTTTCTTACACTGATGTTATTTATTACGTTTTTGTGTGTTGTGCATTCCTAACCTCATTTACATGTACCTTAAACCTTGGAATTTTGAGAGAGAGGATTTTGAAACGATGTCTGCTGCCATTAACTGGCTCCTTGGTTTTAGACTGGAACCTCACATCTTGTTTCATCATCTGCCCCTTCAAATGAGAGTGGACTATTTAACTCAGGGTCTCAGGGAGGAGTCCAAGGAAAGTATGAATTAATTCTTGAAGCATCTTGGCCTGTGTAACGTTCGCCTGGCTCTCTCGCTTCATAACATTGGCTGTTCTCCTGTCATGATTCTCATTTCAGAGTGCACTTTGGTTCCCAGCGCCACCACACTTACCTATAGTTTCTTCAGGAGCAAGTGCGCTGTCTGCACGTTTTCATAGTGCATTTCTTGTTCATAGGAAGTGCTCACAAGTGTTTACCAACCGAGTGATCCCACGTGCTTGAGTGTACCAGAGAAAGGCCACTCGGGATGTTTGTTTTCCTCTGACTTGACCTCCCTTTAAAAATGCTCAGCTCCCAGGGGATTCCAATTCAATCCCATCGAGGTGGCATGTACCAATGCCATCTCACTGTTCCAGGTGATCAGTTTCAGTTCACAGTTGGTCATGGTGAAGGGACTGGGAGTCAAAGGGAGCACATAGACAAGTCTAGTACCTGCTAACGCTAACTGATGGAGTAAATAAAGGGGAGAGTGATCCAACATGGGAAGTGAGATACTCAGCAGACTCATAGAATGGCAGATGTCCTAAATAGCACTCTGGCCTCAGAATGAGCCCTAAAGGCATTTGGATCTGGCTGAAAAGCCCATGAGAGTATTTCAAGCATGGAAAGCCAAGACACTCTGGCAAAAGATCTCTGCGAGTGAGATCCCAGTGGAAAGAACAGGTCATCAAAGAAGGAGGTACCTTTCTCTGAAGGGAGGAGAGAACCTCCACTTTGACTATGACCTTGTCTAAACAAGATAAGAGTCGGAGAACTCAGAGGGCTTCCATAGCCTTGGAAACTCATGACTGGAGCATAGGGAGATTACTGATGCCATAGACAGGAGTGTCAATTGGTAAAGTCAACAACAGGAGTCACTGTGCACTTACTCCTCATGTAGGATCTCTGTCCTTAGTGTGCTGTACATTGAGATTTAATGCTATAACGAGTACTCAAACAATATATTTCACTTTGTGTTTCTATGGGGGTGCAAACTGTTGAAATCCTTACTTAATGCATACTAAACTGATCCTCTGTAAAAAAAAAAAAAAAAGAAAAAAAGAAATTATCAATTCCCAACTTGACTCTCACTGGGATTAAACATGACAATAGGTCTGCTCTGATTTCATCATCATTTAAAAAAATCATCTATTATTTTTTATGTTTCTGGGTGGGAGCAAACTGTTGAAATCCATACTTAATGTATACTAAGCTGACCTTCTGTATATTAAGATAATCGAAAATGAATCTTGATGTGAATGGAAGGGGAGAGGGAGTGGGAAGGGGGAGGGTTGTGGGTGGGAGGGACGGTGTGGGGGGGAGGCCATTGTAGTCCATAAGTCGTACTTTGGAAATTTATATGCATTAAATAAAAGTTTAAAAAAAAAAAACATTAAAAAAAAAAATGCTCAGCTCACACTTGTCTCTAGGAATCCGTTAACAGCGGGCAGCCTTCTTCCCTCCATCTAGGGATGTTGGTGAGCAGCCATGCTGTTCCTTGTTGGAAACTTCTCATGCAGACTTGGCCACCACGAAGGGACCACTGTTTTAATCACCATATGCAGTGCAAACCTTTATTGTAGGATGTCCTTATTTTTCCTTGGTTCTCACAGTGTTTACGTGACTTTTATTTAACTGCCGGGACAAGGTTCTCCGTGTAATTTGCCCTTGGACGTCTCTTTATGAGTTGTCCCCAGCTGCTCAGGTTCCTGTCTGCATTTTCCCTGGTGCCTTCTGATTGATCCCACGCTGGTTGCTGTGGGGTGTAGATTTATTTGTTCCACAGAGTCTACTTGTCCATGTTGGCACTTGGATGTTTGTCCCTCTGTTTGCTGTTGTTCAAATAGACAATATATACCAACATGTTTGAATGACATCCAGGCCTGTTGGCAAAGCTGTTTGACATTTAGGCAACCG